CCTAGAAAGGGGAACTCCAGAAGGCGGATGGGCAGGGGACACCCCAGATCCAGAATGGGGACCACTCGACGTGCAGCGGGAACCCCAGTGGCAGTGGGGAGAGGGGCAGGGGCCAGAAGCTGGAGGGGGGAAGGTCAGCAGGGGCCCCCCAGAGCAGGAGGGAGGTTCTGGGGGGAAGGGGGACCCTGGAATTAGGGATCAGAGTGGGGCAGGGTGCTCTGAGGCGGGAGGGGAATGAGGGGATCCCACGTGGAAGCCGGGGTTCCCAGTGGGGAATTGGGGTGCCATGAGGGGACATGGGGGGTCCCCGGGTGGTCTCCAGTGGGGAGTAGCATCTGGTTTCTTCTCCACTCCCTGCTGCCCCCAACACCACCCGGGGGACCCCACAGCGGTGCCTAGATCAAGCCCAGCGTTGGTTCAGCAGCATGGGGGACCCCTCCCACCCCCGGGGAAACCCCCTCACCCCGGATGACTGGCTGGGCCGGCCGGGACCCCGGCACCTCCCCCGGTGCCGGCCCCCAGTCCGTGTCATCCCTGGGCCCTGCGCAGCATTTGCAACATCTGCAGAATTTGCTGAAGAAGGATCGCTTCCTCCTTTCGGGTGGTGGATCGGGGGGGCCAGGCTGGCGGACCCGGTAGCTGGCACTCGCCCATCTCCCCACATCCATCCGGGTATCGGGCTCCGGCATCCTGCCTGGGGTGAGAGAGAGACAAGCAGTGAACGCAGTTCCCCGGCACTGTTATATGCAGCTGTTCCCCAGCCGTGTCCCACCCCAGAGCCGGCTGCATTTCAGTACGGGGCACATCACTTCCTGACATGTGTCAGGGGGAGCAGCAGGAACCAAGCGATGGGGAAATCGGCCTCGGGACTGTGAGGAACTAGGTCAGAGATGCTTCACCCTGGTTCTGCGTCAGATGCCCAGCCTGAGCCAGGAAGGGAACATGCATGGGGACGGACAGACAGCCGGGGAGGTGACGTTGGGGTTCAGGGGATGTGAGGAGAGCCCAGAGCCGGCCAGGCTGCAGTACCTGGGTCGGGCACTGGGGGGGAGGGCTGTGACACGGGGGAGTGGCTGGGGCCCAGGGAAGCCAATGGGAGCGCAGGGTGGGGTCGGGGCAGAGGGGTCAGAAGGGGTTACCCCACCGTGCCCAATGGGAGCAGGCCCCGGTGATGTTATGGCGGGTGGCGGGGCTCCAGCCCACCTGCTTACAGAGTGGAAATTTAACAGGGAATCGAGAAATTCGACGCCTCTGGAACCCAGGAGTCCTAACCCCCCCGCACCGTGCTCTAACCACTAGACCCCCCCCCCAAGCTGGGGAGAGAATCCAGGAGTCCTGTCCCCCCATCCAGCCACTAGTCCCCCTCCCCTCCCAGAGCTGGAGACAGAACCCAGGAGTCCAGACACCCAGCCACCCCCCTGCTCGAATTCCCTCTAATGCAGGCGTTCTCAAACTGGGGGTTGGGACCCCTTGGGGGTCACGAGGTTATTACATGGGGGGTCGCGAGCTGTCAGCCTCCACCCCAAACCCTGCTGTGCCTCCAGCATTTATAATGGTGTTAAATATACAACTCTACCCCGATATAACACGAATTCGGATAGAACGCGGTAAAGCAGCGACCGGGGGGGGGGAGGGGGGGCAGGGTTGCACGCCCCGGTGGATCAAAGCGAGTTCGATATAAGGCGGTTTCACCTATAACTCGGTAAGATTTTTGGCTCCCGAGGACAGCGTTCTATCGGGGGAGAGGTGTATTAACAAGTGTTTTTCATTTATAAGGCGGGGGGGTCGCACTCAGGGGCTTGGTCACCAGCACGAAAGTTTGAGAGCCCCTGCACACCCCTCCCCTCCCTTCAGTGACTGAGGACCAGGGCTCTGGGGAGGGGACCCGGGGCAGTCTGCCAGGGCCCAACCCGCCCCCAGGCTAAGCACCCCACAACCCCATCACCCCAAAGCGCCCAGCTCCCGCAGCCCCCAAGCATCCCAACTCCCAAACTCCACCCCAGTCCTTCCCCAGCCCCCCGAAATCCCCAGCACATCGTCCCCAGCCCCCAATATCCCAGCACCGCTTCCTCCAGCCCCCCAAACTTCCCAGCCCCCCAAATCTCCACCACTTCTTCCCCAGCCCCCCAAATCCCCAGCCCCTCTTCCCTCTAAACTCCCAACACCTCTTCCCCAGCACCCCAAATTTCTCAGCCCCAAATCCTGAGCACCTCGTCCCCCAGGACCCCAAACTTCCCAGCAACTCTTCCCCCAGCCCCCCAAATCCCCAGCAACTCTTCCCTCTGCCCCTAAACTCTCAACACCTCTTCCCCAGCCCCCCGAACTTCTCAGCCCCCAAATCCCGAGCACCTCGTCCCCCAGCACCCCAAATCCCCAGCACCCAAACTCCCAGCACCTCTTCCCCAGCGCCCCTAATCTCCACCACCTCTTCCCCAGACCCCCAAATCCCCAGCACCTCATCTCCCAGCCCCCCAAACTTCCCAGCAACTCTTTCCCCAGCCCCTCTTCCCTCTGCCCTCTAAACTCCCAACATCTCTTCCCCAGCACCCCAAACTTCTCAGCCCCCAAATCCCGAACACCACGTCCCCCAGACCCCCAAACTTCCCAGCAACTCTTTCCCCAGCACCCCAAACTTCCCAGCCCCCAAATCGCCAGCAACTCTTCCCTCTGCCCCCTAAACTCCCAGCACCTCTTCCCCAGCCCCCCGAACTTCTCAGCCCCGGAGCCCGCACTCACTGGCCGGGCGCTCGCTCGCTCGCTGCGCTGCGCTCTGGGGCCAGGCGCTGCGCTCCGGAGCTGGGAGCGCAGGGGCGGGAGGAGGAGCCAGGGGGGCGGGGCCTGGCGGGGGCCGGGGGGTCAGGGAGGGTCCGCACCCAGCGACCCGCGAGTCACCCGTGAGGGGGGGGGAGGAGCTGGGTGACCTCAGCGGCCCCCAGGCGCTTCCTCTAGCAGGGCCTGGCAACACCCCCCACCTCCCAGCTATCCATCCTCCCAGACACCCCTGTCCATCTCCCCACCCCACCCCCCCTTCCATCCTCAGACCCCTCCCCAGACATCCCATCCCCACCCTGCACCCCTCCCCAGAGACACCCCCACCTCCCCATCTATCACCTACCTCTCTGTCCCCCTCCACCCCATCTCTCTCCCCATGGACACCCCTCTCTCTGTCCACCCCACTCCCTCTCTGTCTCTCATCAGCTCCATCCCCTGCCCCCGGCCCTCTGCTCCCCAGGGGATGTGCTGTGGGGAGTCCCCCAGTCCCCTGCCGGCTGCGGGGACCCCGTCGGCTTCCCTGCTGTAACCACCTCCCTGAGGCAGCGTCTCCTGCTCCCGCAACCTGCCGCGCCACTGAACATCCCCCAGCAACCATTCCCCATGTTGCCAGGACAGAGCTGGGAGAGAACCCAGGAGTCCGGGCTGCCAGGCTCCCTGCTCTAACCACTGGACCTCCCTCCCCTCTCAGAGCAGAGACAGAACCCAGGCATCCGGGCCATGCTAAGCCCAGGAGCTGATGGAGGTGCAATGGGACAGGCCGTGGGAAGAGTGATGCGTGGGGGAGGGGGGCTGTCCCAGCAGGGGGCAGATGGGCTTGGGGGGGGGGCACTGGGGCATCTCCTCCTCCCAGAACCCCCCAGCCTGCCTCTCCCCCCAAAGATGCTCATTAGGGCCCCCCCCGTCCCTGGCACAGTCAGGCCAACGCTGGAACAGACAAAACCAGCCCAACCTGCCCCACGGAGCCCAGGGATTCTCCCCCTGCGGGGGGACTGGCTCAGAGCCAACCCGAGGGTGGGGTTTGGCTGGCTCAGGGGGGCAGAGAATGGGACACGGGGACTCCCCCGCCACCTCTGCCGGTGCCCCTTACTCCCCCCCCCACAGCCCCCATTGCCCAGCCCTGCCGGTGCCCCCTCCGCAGCCCCCTGCCAGCCCAGCCTGGAGCTCCCAACCTGCCCTGCACAGTCAGGAATTTGGGAGGAGGCTGTGAAGTGTCTCCCACTTGAACCTGGCTCCCCGCCCGGGGTTCCTGGCACCGTGGGGTTGGGGAGCGGAGGGGGAGGAGCCCCGGGTGGGGCTGGCCGGGTGCTGCCCCATATCACTCAAGGCCTGATGTGCCAAGAAACGCCCGAGATGTTGTAACCTCTGCGGTGGCTCCAGTTGCGTGTCGGGGTGTCACCGTTCCCACGAAGAGCGTGAAGCAACCGCGGGCGAGTGGCGGATGTCACGGCTTCCGCTGGGGTGCAGCAGCCCAACGGAGCAACGAGTGCGAGGAATTCGGTGTAACAGGCGGGGCCCTGCCCCAGAGAGGGGTGATGTCAGAGTAAATTCCTTCTGCCCAGGGAGCGGGCCGGCAGCCTGGGGGGCCCGCAGGTCGGGAGTGAGAGGCAGTGGCAGGGTGTGGGGGGAGCAGGGCTGGACTAGCAGGGGCTGTGGGTTGGGAGGGGCTCCAGCAGACCTGGGGCAGGATGGAAGGGGGAGCTGCGGGTCAGGAGTGAGGGGCACCAGCAGGGGCTGTGGGTTGGGAGGGGCTCCAGCAGACCTGGGGCAGGATGGAAGGGGGAGCTGCGGGTCAGGAGTGAGGGGCACCAGCAGGGGCTGTGGGTCGGGAGGGGCACCGGCAGAGCTGGAGGGGGTGGTGGGAGTGAGGGGCACCTAATGACTCAGTTCACACCAGGACATTTTTAACCTTTTATTTCCCGGGTCCAATAAATTATTGGCAGGCAGGGGAGAAGGGGCGGGGCCAGACGCGCCCGGCCAATCAGGCGAGGGCGATCTCCACGCGGGGCAGCAGCACGGCCAGCTCTGATTGGGCATCAAGGAGGTCACCCAGGGGGTTCCCCCGCAGGGCCAGGAGGCGGAGCTTGGGGAAGGAGGCCAAAGGTCGCAGGTCAGAAGGTCGCTGGATGCCTGGGGGTCGGGGAGGAGCAGCAGAGTCAAGGAGGGTGCAATGGCTAGAGGGGCCCCAATCCCCCAGAGCTCCCCCCATCCCAGCCCTCCTCCACCCCT